TATATATATATATATGCATATAACTTTAACATATACAACAAATATCTTTCAATTTCGTCCTGTATTAAAAAAAAATTATTTACAAAAAATTATTTACGCATGTATACGTATATATGTTTATAACTATACATTTGGACTTAACCAAACTTTCAAATCACTGGCAAACGCGTGAATGCGGACATACGGAAGAGAAGAAAGTAGATGTTAGTGTGAATACATTTCCTTGTATTTTTTCACATACAAATTCCGCTCTCTCAGCTAGCATCGCATAATCGCTTTCCTCTCTTGCTGTTATATGCGCGAATTAATAAAAATATACGCAATGTCTATTATATAAGTCGTGTGAATGTTTTAAGTGTAATGTTTGTGCGGTCGTGTATCACGATGCGCATGTGAACTCGTTTTTTCTTCCCACCCTCGAGAGTGGCAATCGACGAGACGTTTCTCTTCCCGTCTCACCGCCTTCAAGATTGGATCAATCATTTTTTTACTCTCCCTCCTCTGTCTCCCTTCAATTTCACGTAAATACATCCGCATATCCCGCGGATCCGCTGTTTCTCTTTCTTTTTCTCCATTATTTTCTGTACTCTCATTCAGTTAAATGCATAAGCTCGTAGGTCGCAATTGACAAAGTTCACTATGTTCAACAGACTCCCCCGAATTGAATCCATCAGAACAGAAGAGTACGTTGTGTTCGAGCACGCTTATGCTAAAGATACGCTAAGTATAAAACAAATAACTATTCTAAATTCTATACGCATATTACATGACAACTAAGGGCCTACCGGAAGCGTCGCATCTTCCAGTTCGAATTTATCGTCGATGTGCAAGGTGTTTTTAGGAAATATGTATATGTCGTTATATATAGACGTAATATGTATTCTTATAGCTAAATTAAAAAGAGACAGGTTAAGTCAATAAAAATGTTAAAACAATTTTCTTTAAATATTAACAAATATCACGCATAAGCCTCGTATAATTCGAAATATATCATGTGATAACGAAAAAATAAACAGTTTTTTGAACATGATGCTAAAGTGTTAAAATCAATATTATTTGTGCGAATTCTTTTCATTTAACATTATTTAATTTTCTTTCGAAATGAACAAACAAAATAAAATTTTGAACATATTACTATAATATATAAATAAGCGAATCGTGTGCTCTAGTAAAATAATCCAACTTTGGATAATAATTATTTCAATAATTCTAAACGCGCGAATGCTAATTAACACTACGGACTTAACGGCAAGTATCGCATATAACGTGACATAGGCCGAGCGTCGTTTTTTTTCTTTATTCCGGACGTAAGACGTTAAAATTTGGACGAATAGCTATAACACAAAAATTTATGTAATTTCGAAATAAAAATATTGCGACGCCGTTTTTTTACGGCGGAAATTGACTTATTTACAATTTAGCCTATTAAAAGAATAAAATGGAGCCATGTAACGACACATAACAATTTCAATAGTTCTCTATAGTAAAACAACGCTAATTATCGGCATAATTAAAAATTATCTCTATAAAGTATATCGCAAATCGCTATTACTCTAAAAAAAAGATCAAATAATAAAATAGATGATTAATGTAATTCGTGACTTCGGCCACGCATAATCGTAAACTCTCTCGTCTTCTCTTGAATGCAATCTTTATCGGCAAGTCAAAATTTCCAATTAAAATATCCAATTAAAATATTAAAGTTGAAATTAAATTGAAGTTTATTTCGACAGAAATAAGATCGGAACGGTAGTCACGTCTCTCTCAGTCATGCAAGCAAGTAGATAATATGACGGGAAAAAATCCCGTACTTCCTTTACCGTTCTCTTCTCAATTGTACGCTTATAACACTCCAAATGGAATCAGGTCAATAAGGCACTGTTCACCGACAATGTCTGACTAGAAAATGAATTTATTTTCGGAACTTGTTTTTGTATATCAGCATTTCTCGTCTCGCAATCGCTTAACTGAATATTCCATCCCTCTCGCGAACGAAGACCGATTTCTCGCTTTTTTAGCATCGGCGATGAAGATTATATCTTAAGACTGCACTTTTGTTTTTCTACGTTTTTCGTTTCATCGATATAATCAAAGTTTAAATACGCGTAATTTTTTAATATCGAATAAAATTAA